AGCAATCCATTAGAAGTGAAGGATGAACTCGGGTTGCTTCACCCTGCATTCAAAGCTGTGAAGGTATCATCTTCTTCTTGATAACCATGGAAATGCTTGAATTTATAGGGGTTGATTGATGGTTATCATGAGTTCAAGTATAATAGTGTTGAAAATGGTATGGATTTGGTATATTTATATATATGTATGTATGTATATATATATATATATCAGTTACCCATAATATTGAAGAATTGTAAACTTCTTTCTTTTGTGGGGTTAAAAATCTGTCTAAATTTCATTGATTTTTAGAAGGCTTTGTTTCTTAGATCAGCTTTTGTAATGAAATGATAGGGAGTTCTTGAAGAAATCTGTTCATCAATCTGTATGAGTTGTTTATTGACATCATATTTCAATATCTCAACCTCCTCTCTAGTGGTAGCTTTCTTACATTATTGTGATATTATTGACTCAAATTTATTAGGGAAAAGTTCAATCTTTTACCCCTTCCAACCACCATTTGAGGGGAGAACGGAGACGATAACGATACTTTGCTTCATAGTATTTATTGATATAGGCCCGAGATGTTTATATTCGAATCTTATTAGAAAAAAAAGATGGTAGAAATCATATGATAGACTCGAAGGCCCCGGAAATGTTTGGAGGTGTTCGTAGTTCCTGCAAATAAGGATAAAATTTCATTCAGGATTGCAATTATTACCTATGACGATAATTTATGAACCTATGCGTAACCAATAATTGAGACGGTAAAAAGTTTCAATGAAGCTCTAAATCGAGAGGTCGGTCAGAAGTTCAGAATCTTCTCAAATTTCACTTTTCACTTTAACTTCTCAAATTAATTGAACGGAAAAGAAAAAAAAAATTAATGTCTTTTTTCAATTTTTATTTATTTATTGTATTTTCTTACCGTTTTACCCTAAACTGTGATTTTCCCTCGTGATTTAATAAGTTAATTCAATTTATTAATTACTCATTGACCTAAATCAGTTGTGGTAAGTAATTTTTCAGTTAAACATATAACAAAAATTATATATATTCACTTTTGTTTAATTAAGTATAAAAATAATATCATTAAATTGGTATTCATTAAACCATTTTTCATTCCAAGATTTATTCTCAATTTGTGTTCTAATTATGTATCTATTTTTATTTTAAATTTCTTCTCTATCTTTGGTGATGCAAATTTCTAGCTATTTGTACATTAATTTAACCTAATTTTCATTTTTTTATATATATATATATATATATCAATGACTAATCACTGATAAACTTATATTATCCTTGATTGTTTGCAGACTCTTTGACTATTATGTTTATTATTATATACATATACCATATTAATAGAATATAAAATTTCCATAATAATAGAATATAAAATTTCCTTCGACTGCGTAGCTGCTCTAGTATGTACTACGAGCCCTATGTTCTACACATCTAACCTGCTCACGGAGTTCATCAATCCTACATGGTATACACGGTCATATTTTATTTTATTTACTGTTAGATGATTACTTGCATGTTCATTACAACGGAGGGTAAGTTCTGGGTGGAAAGAATGGCACAGTTCAAAATTGATACAATCTACCTTCGTCCTTAAGAGTTTCAGCTGACTGCACCGATGTCAAAACACCGCTTGCAGAGGGTGGGATGTTCTGGGAAAGATCCAACTCGTAGATACACCAATCCAGACTTTGCTCCCTTCAATGAGGCACTCTCCACTGTATGGTATGTTCTCCATCAGCTCATTCTCTATGACTCGATGAATCTCGACCTGAATGTGTCATTTTGACAAAACATGAATGTCAAGACATTTTTTGACATTTCGAAAACTGGATGGCAATGTTAAGAATGATTCAAATCTTTCAGCTAAGTGACAATCGGATGAAACAATCGCTAAGTCAACAACTTCACGTCGTGACTTGTGACAAAAATCGAAGTTATACAGCTAGGACAAGACGAAGTCGTTATAGGGTAATACAGTAAATCGTTGAATTTTAAAATACAGAACCAAAATGGTGGTAGTTTATGCATGTGGCAAAAGAAAAACAATGTTAGGATACCTGAGATGTAATAAAGATTCTTTGCAAAGTGTCCGCGTCATGGTTGGATTCACACAACTTAGAAGCCAGACCGTCTCCAGAGGTATGCAGATGGACTTTTAGCCTCTAAGCTTGAACCGATCAACTTTCCGGTTCGAGCAACTTCCAGGACTTTATTCACCTCGGTTCTTAGCTGATCGAAGTGTAAATAATTAGAAAATCATCCCAAATTCGAGGTTCTATAGATTAGTTTAGTTCATATTCGTCAACATATTGTGATATTTGCAGTTTTGATTATAAATTCATTACAGAAAATAAATACCTCAAGAATATTTGCTCAGAAATCAATTTCTTCTCTTGGAAGAGAAAGCCTAGTCTTATTTAAGCTTGGCCACCTTGATTCGAAGACAAATTTTGCAACAGAACCATCATCGTTTTTATGTTGGAAGGGTATATTCTGCCACACATCCTCAGCCAAATGAGGCAATATTGGAGCAATTATTCTTGCTATGGAAAGAACATGAGCTGCAAGAACTGTTTGACAACTTCTCCTAGTAAAACTTGTGGATCCCCTGAAATGGTTGACAAAATGAGCAGTTTGCTAATGAAAAAGAACCCCTTAATGAACTAAATAAAAAATGGAATTCTTGTAATCAACTTAATGGAAAGTAAGCAGCCACATTAAATTTTGATGGAGAACTATAAAGTTCTGTGAACACGAGCGCGAATTGGTTTCCACGACCATGGGCATGACCAATAAACAGTCGATAATACATATAGTGACTTCACAAGGATAACAGCAACTGGACACAGTGACGAAACTTTTACAGCATCGATCATGAAGTAACAAGTCATAATTAAATTTTTTTTTGGACATTTTCATTGGGTGGCTTTTCCAATGTCTCCATAGCGCTGCAAAAGTTAAACAACATACTTGGAGAAANAAACACTTTTGCCGAAGAGCTTCCTCAAAAACGAAATGAAGAAACAGAACCCCTCCTAAATGATGCAGAAATTATTTGTGATAATACCTGAAAAACATGTAACATGAGTACATTAACATAAGGCAATCCAGAATAAGGGTCGTAGTAGATTTGATCAATAAGGTAAACACCATTTTCCACAACTGAACAGCGAGAAGTACCTCTTAAAACAAAATTTGTCGTCTTTTCTTTCCAACCAAAAAGGAAAAACAAGAACAGGTCAAACGAAACAACCCATAAGGTTTTGTCCTCTTTAGGTTTTTCACTTCGACAGATTTCCACACCTTATAAAAAATGTTTAGTTCTCCTCTCCAACCAATATGGGATCTCATAATCTACTTCCCCTTCAAGGCTAGCATCCTCGCACTCGTTCCCTTCTCCAATCAATGTGGGACCCCTCAGTCCACCACCTTCAAGGCCCAGCGTCTTTTCTAACAAGGCTCACGATGTCTGGCTTTAATACTATTTATAACTGTTTAAGCCCACCTAGCAGATATTGTCTTTTTGGGTTTTTCCTTTCGGGCTTCCTCTTAAAGTTTTTAAAATGCTTCTACTATCGAGAGGCTCTAGCCCTACTTTGACCAGTATCTCACCATCTGATGACTGACTCTGATACCATTTATAATGACTCAAACTCACTATCTGCTAGCAGTAGCCTTGGCCATACACAAATATAAGCAATTGAACCACTACAGTCTCTGAACTAAACAAGCAGGAGATGAAGTACTCAAATAACTCCGCAAGAACATCATTCATCATAAAAAAAAAAAAAAACAAGGAAACGGCACATAGGGATAGAAAAAAAGACGTAATCGTTCTTGCATTTTCGAAGTGGACTACTTCGTAATTCAAACAGATTGGCGCACACATAGAGATACAGAAGGGAAGAGAGAAATTGTACTCCATAAGAAGGCGTTTGAATCAGAGATTTAGTGGCTTCCTTGCACTTCAATGCCGAAGAGCCAGCGGCAAACGACGAGATCGGCGGCATATTAGCCTCAATTATTTTGCAGAGCCTCTTGTTCTTCATCCTCGGAGCGATAGGAAGCATGAGAGAGTAAACTAATGTTTTTCATTTTTGTAAAAATGACGCATGTTATTCCTTTGGGGAATTAAACTTTAAATATTTTGAAAATTAACGCGGAATAATTCTAAATATCAATATTTAAATTACGAACTTTTTTTTTTGTTAAAAATAAATTAGGTTCTAAAAAATATTAAAAAAAAAATCGACTATTTAGACCATATTCTTTTTTTCATCAAAGTTATAATTTAATCATCTTTTTATAATATTTCACTTAGTCAATAATTTATGGGTTTTTTCAAGTATATTATATTGAACGATTAGATCACAAGGATCATGATCGGAAATTGTTTGATTATCTTATTTTGATTCTCGAATAATTCATATCACTTAAGCTTCTACTATAACACAAAATATTTGCAATTCATCTTCGTTTAGTTTGACAAATAGACGTTTTTACTTGTAACAGTTGTTTTCGTTTAGCTAATATAAAAGCTAAGCGATAATAATTGAAGGTTTGGTCTTCGGTCTACCATTCCAAAGTAAATGCCTAACTAGCATGGTAACAAGACTGAGGAAGATACTAGCTAGTGAAGCCTAGAAAGCTTGTTGCATGATCAATCAAGCTAAGTTAAGAGGTCGTCCTTCCATCAATCAAGCAACTAACCAATCGATTTCAAAGCAAAGAGTATAGGCTTGCAAATGAGTTTCACACTATTTTCAACCGATCCCTAATCTCCTAATCTTTTCTTTAGAACGAAGCTGAAGTACACCAAAAAAAAATAAAAGAGGTGGGATCATAGGTGAAGACAGTCCACCCAAAAAAAAATAAAAGAGTTGAGATCGTAGGTGAAGATGGGCGATATTTTAATAAGTAAATTAACGTCTGGTATGAATGGAAAGATAGCATCCATGGGCCATCTCAGGATCTCATTTGCTCATGCTCTACCAGTCAAATGTGCAACAACAACTTGTTTATTGTCTTTCACAATCTCTCTTCCACACCAACAAAGGGAAAGGAAGAGAACAAGAAAAAAAGCTGTTCTACAGAACAAATTCCTGAGAAGTAGAAAGCAGAACTCATCATGTAAGAGTGGAAGCTTTCATAGAACACATAAAAATTTCCAAACCTAAAAGGAAACTTGATGATCATCATCATCCTAAGGGTCTGCCAAGCACAGCAGCACTTATCTAAGCTTACCCAAAACCACCGCTTATAGGGAAGAGGTAACTTTGAGCAAAGACTGAGCTTGAATCGGCGACAGATTAGTTTGGCAAAAGCTTTGCCAAGCCTCCTGTTTCTCTTCCTCGTTTGCCGTGAATGCTTTGAACACTCCCATCACGATACTCCGAGCTGCTTCCCTTGCCTCAGGTAGCCTATCGTTTAGCAAATCTGCAGCCATTTGAAGCAATGGGACAATCCCATATTGGTTCATTTCTTCCAGGTCCTTGAAGAAATTGGCAGCAACCCATGTTAAAATTCATCAGTTCAGTCCAGTTTTTGAACAAAAATGAGAAGAATCAAGGCAATAAGCAAGAATTTTTGTACCATCTTAGAGACACAATTGGAGATTGGAATGGCGGCTTTGGCTCTGACTCTNTGCTCAGAAATCAATTTCTTCTCTTGGAAGAGAAAGCCTAGTCTTATTTAAGCTTGGCCACCTTGATTCGAAGACAAATTTTGCAACAGAACCATCATCGTTTTTATGTTGGAAGGGTATATTCTGCCACACATCCTCAGCCAAATGAGGCAATATTGGAGCAATTATTCTTGCTATGGAAAGAACATGAGCTGCAAGAACTGTTTGACAACTTCTCCTAGTAAAACTTGTGGATCCCCTGAAATGGTTGACAAAATGAGCAGTTTGCTAATGAAAAAGAACCCCTTAATGAACTAAATAAAAAATGGAATTCTTGTAATCAACTTAATGGAAAGTAAGCAGCCACATTAAATTTTGATGGAGAACTATAAAGTTCTGTGAACACGAGCGCGAATTGGTTTCCACGACCATGGGCATGACCAATAAACAGTCGATAATACATATAGTGACTTCACAAGGATAACAGCAACTGGACACAGTGACGAAACTTTTACAGCATCGATCATGAAGTAACAAGTCATAATTAAATTTTTTTTTGGACATTTTCATTGGGTGGCTTTTCCAATGTCTCCATAGCGCTGCAAAAGTTAAACAACATACTTGGAGAAATTTTGAAGAAGAGTCCTAATCAATTTTCTATGAAGAGTAATTCCCACGAAATACTAAACCAGCACTCAGAAATCATCAAACACGAACATGCTCACATAGACATAATGTTGACATGAACTAAAATTATCATATACCGATTAATCACTCATTATGCTAGAAAAATAGAGCATGGGAAGGACAAGGTTGAGGTGATGAAGAAATTGCCTTAAATGACGCCATCTGAGCTTTCACCGTAGTAGCTTTAGCAAACTTGGCAGCCTTATCTCTCAATTTAATTGGGGTAAGATTCTTCCTGGCTTCTTTATCCAATGACTGCAGAACTGAATAACTTAAGATTACAGTTAAGTTTTTTGACATCTGTCCCTCAAAACCTAAGACGTTGTTCAATAAAGGCTCGTCATGGAGGCTAACTAATGAAAAAGATACTTGCCTTTTAACTCAATTGGAAGGCCATGGCAGTCCCATCCAGGCACAAAACGAACTTTATAGCTTTGAAGGAGCTATTAAGAGAAGAAAATAAAATGAAAAAGAAATATTAGTTACAAATATTTTAAATGGAAAAAAAAAGTTTGTTCTTCGAAAAATTAAGTAGCTATTGAAGGGAGAAGGAATCATGAGCTCAAATTAGATGCAAAAATTCGGTCTGTATATAAATTTCAAGCCAACAATAACCAGAGCTCAAACTCAACAGAATTTCAGTGAGGAATNTTTGAATCAGAGATTTAGTGGCTTCCTTGCACTTCAATGCCGAAGAGCCAGCGGCAAACGACGAGATCGGCGGCATATTAGCCTCAATTATTTTGCAGAGCCTCTTGTTCTTCATCCTCGGAGCGATAGGAAGCATGAGAGAGTAAACTAATGTTTTTCATTTTTGTAAAAATGACGCATGTTATTCCTTTGGGGAATTAAACTTTAAATATTTTGAAAATTAACGCGGAATAATTCTAAATATCAATATTTAAATTACGAACTTTTTTTTTTGTTAAAAATAAATTAGGTTCTAAAAAATATTAAAAAAAAAATCGACTATTTAGACCANCGGTCTGTATATAAATTTCAAGCCAACAATAACCAGAGCTCAAACTCAACAGAATTTCAGTGAGGAATTGAAACTAATTACCAGGGATCCAAAACATACAATATTAACATATTCCAGCTTTTTTTTTTCTTTCTGGTGTGTTGTCTGATTTAAATTAAGTATGTCTAAAATGAAGGAATTAACCTTTTTTTTTTTCTTTCTGGTGTGTTGTCTGATTTAAATTAAGTATGTCTAAAATGAAGGAATTAACCTTGTAACGATTAATTATATCCTTTAAAATCTTATTCAAAGCATGGCCCATGTGAAGATCTCCGTTGGCATATGGAGGACCATGATGAAGAATGAAGTTTTCCTGGGACCAAATATCAACAAATAAGTTAATGTGAATAGGGCAAAAAAGAAGGAACGATATCCTGAGACTGTGGAACATACTCCAGTATTTCTTTCAACAACTCGGTCGAAAACTTGATGGTCGTCCCATATTTACTGAATTTCAGGCTCCCTAACTGAAGAATTTGCTGTCATGCCAACATAGTCTTCGGCAGATCAACAGTATGCTTGTATTTTCCATCTCCTTCATTTGTCTCTGTACAAACTCAAGCCATCCAAGAAATTATTCAAGAAGTCATGTAATTTATTCAAGAAGTCATGTAATTTATTAAAATCACAAGCTTGGGTTTGAAGGGGAATGTAGTACATAATTGCGGAGGCTATGCACCTTTAGATGCTGTCTTTGCTGCCATAACAGGCCCTCTAGACCTTCTCTTTGAGGAAGGTAGGAACTCATTGTTTAAATAGGTAGAGTAAACACTTTTGCCGAAGAGCTTCCTCAAAAACGAAATGAAGAAACAGAACCCCTCCTAAATGATGCAGAAATTATTTGTGATAATACCTGAAAAACATGTAACATGAGTACATTAACATAAGGCAATCCAGAATAAGGGTCGTAGTAGATTTGATCAATAAGGTAAACACCATTTTCCACAACTGAACAGCGAGAAGTACCTCTTAAAACAAAATTTGTCGTCTTTTCTTTCCAACCAAAAAGGAAAAACAAGAACAGGTCAAACGATATAAATAAAGATATAAATAAAGAAACAACCCATAAGGTTTTGTCCTCTTTAGGTTTTTCACTTCGACAGATTTCCACACCTTATAAAAAATGTTTAGTTCTCCTCTCCAACCAATATGGGATCTCATAATCTACTTCCCCTTCAAGGCTAGCATCCTCGCACTCGTTCCCTTCTCCAATCAATGTGGGACCCCTCAGTCCACCACCTTCAAGGCCCAGCGTCTTTTCTAACAAGGCTCACGATGTCTGGCTTTAATACTATTTATAACTGTTTAAGCCCACCTAGCAGATATTGTCTTTTTGGGTTTTTCCTTTCGGGCTTCCTCTTAAAGTTTTTAAAATGCTTCTACTATCGAGAGGCTCTAGCCCTACTTTGACCAGTATCTCACCATCTGATGACTGACTCTGATACCATTTATAATGACTCAAACTCACTATCTGCTAGCAGTAGCCTTGGCCATACACAAATATAAGCAATTGAACCACTACAGTCTCTGAACTAAACAAGCAGGAGATGAAGTACTCAAATAACTCCGCAAGAACATCATTCATCATAAAAAAAAAAAAAAACAAGGAAACGGCACATAGGGATAGAAAAAAAGACGTAATCGTTCTTGCATTTTCGAAGTGGACTACTTCGTAATTCAAACAGATTGGCGCACACATAGAGATACAGAAGGGAAGAGAGAAATTGTACTCCATAAGAAGGCGTTTGAATCAGAGATTTAGTGGCTTCCTTGCACTTCAATGCCGAAGAGCCAGCGGCAAACGACGAGATCGGCGGCATATTAGCCTCAATTATTTTGCAGAGCCTCTTGTTCTTCATCCTCGGAGCGATAGGAAGCATGAGAGAGTAAACTAATGTTTTTCATTTTTGTAAAAATGACGCATGTTATTCCTTTGGGGAATTAAACTTTAAATATTTTGAAAATTAACGCGGAATAATTCTAAATATCAATATTTAAATTACGAACTTTTTTTTTTGTTAAAAATAAATTAGGTTCTAAAAAATATTAAAAAAAAAATCGACTATTTAGACCATATTCTTTTTTTCATCAAAGTTATAATTTAATCATCTTTTTATAATATTTCACTTAGTCAATAATTTATGGGTTTTTTCAAGTATATTATATTGAACGATTAGATCACAAGGATCATGATCGGAAATTGTTTGATTATCTTATTTTGATTCTCGAATAATTCATATCACTTAAGCTTCTACTATAACACAAAATATTTGCAATTCATCTTCGTTTAGTTTGACAAATAGACGTTTTTACTTGTAACAGTTGTTTTCGTTTAGCTAATATAAAAGCTAAGCGATAATAATTGAAGGTTTGGTCTTCGGTCTACCATTCCAAAGTAAATGCCTAACTAGCATGGTAACAAGACTGAGGAAGATACTAGCTAGTGAAGCCTAGAAAGCTTGTTGCATGATCAATCAAGCTAAGTTAAGAGGTCGTCCTTCCATCAATCAAGCAACTAACCAATCGATTTCAAAGCAAAGAGTATAGGCTTGCAAATGAGTTTCACACTATTTTCAACCGATCCCTAATCTCCTAATCTTTTCTTTAGAACGAAGCTGAAGTACACCAAAAAAAAATAAAAGAGGTGGGATCATAGGTGAAGACAGTCCACCCAAAAAAAAATAAAAGAGTTGAGATCGTAGGTGAAGATGGGCGATATTTTAATAAGTAAATTAACGTCTGGTATGAATGGAAAGATAGCATCCATGGGCCATCTCAGGATCTCATTTGCTCATGCTCTACCAGTCAAATGTGCAACAACAACTTGTTTATTGTCTTTCACAATCTCTCTTCCACACCAACAAAGGGAAAGGAAGAGAACAAGAAAAAAAGCTGTTCTACAGAACAAATTCCTGAGAAGTAGAAAGCAGAACTCATCATGTAAGAGTGGAAGCTTTCATAGAACACATAAAAATTTCCAAACCTAAAAGGAAACTTGATGATCATCATCATCCTAAGGGTCTGCCAAGCACAGCAGCACTTATCTAAGCTTACCCAAAACCACCGCTTATAGGGAAGAGGTAACTTTGAGCAAAGACTGAGCTTGAATCGGCGACAGATTAGTTTGGCAAAAGCTTTGCCAAGCCTCCTGTTTCTCTTCCTCGTTTGCCGTGAATGCTTTGAACACTCCCATCACGATACTCCGAGCTGCTTCCCTTGCCTCAGGTAGCCTATCGTTTAGCAAATCTGCAGCCATTTGAAGCAATGGGACAATCCCATATTGGTTCATTTCTTCCAGGTCCTTGAAGAAAT